ATCACTGACTCAATGGACAGGAGTTTGAGTAAACTCCGGGAGTTGGGGATGGACAAGGAAGCCTGGCGTGCTGTGGTCCACGGGGTCACAAAGAGTCGGACACGACCGAGCCACTGAACTGAATTGGAAAGGTGTGAGGAATTACCTTGTTAGTCTATCAAGAAGAGAGGCTGAGAGGAAGCAGGGTGAGTTTATAGTATCTAACACATGTATAATGAGCAGTAGTATTAACCATATTTTATGTCCTGAGATGGGTCAGAAACTTGAAAATTCTCATAGCTTTTTTGCAACAAGTTCACATGAGATCTGGCTGTATGCCTATCCTCAGAATACAAGGCTTCCTTTGTAAAAATCCATTCCATTTCAAACTCCTGTGTTAGAAGAATCACGGGACCTTTACTTGTTGGTCTTAGTTGTAGCTCAAATAAGTTTGCTTTCAACATGGTAACCTTCAATTACTAGAAAGGCCTCTCTCTTGCTGATCTTGTTAGGTGGACACTCAACATCTTTTGTCCCTTTCTTTGTAAAATACTGATTTTATTTGGAGCAGCTTCTCTTGAAAGAGCAGTGAAACGTATAACAAATTGTTAAGGAGGACTTTGGGAAAAGCTCCTTTATAGATTCAGGAGAGATGGCTACCATGTACCTTTTGTCAGATGCCCCTTCTATTCTGTCCGAGAATAAGGAAGCAGTGGCTGGAGTTCCAGCAGCTATCCTGGCTCACGAGATGACTGATGATGGCAAATATGTGTTAAAGAAAGCGGGTTAGTAAAACAGAAGCAGCTTGAGTCTTTCTGATCATGGTGCTACCACACAGACTACAGAATCAATTTCTTTTACTATGAGATATGTAAATATCCATCCCATATTATTTTATCATTATTATTTGGATTTTCTGTTACATACAGCCAGACCTAATTTCTAACGGGTATATCTTTCCAACCAAAATTTGTTTATGATCTCAATTTTAAGTTCATCCTAAACTTTAGAATTAGAAAAGTTTGAAGTTAAAAAGAGAAAAAGTTGGGAGTAACTAAAACAAGGCCATCATAAAATTAGGACAGGGAAAGGAATCTGGAACCTGGCTCCTCAGATATGGCTTGTTAGCTTAATAGATGTGGCTAGCCTAGCTTTATCTTTTTAAAAAAATATTCTATAAAGTTATCACCGATTAAACCTACAATTTCACTTCCACCCCTCCTAACTCCTGTCCAAATAAAGAGGTTTTACTGTTAGAGCCATTTTAAGTGTTCAAATTTAAAGTGACATTAAAAGGCAGTTAAAAAATTAATTCTTCATCTGTACTTCTAAGTATAAAGAGAGCTAAGCTAAATTCAAAAGTCAAATCAGGCTTTATATTTAAAAGTGCTCTTTTAGCTAATAGCAAGGCATGATGTTTGTCATTATGAGAAGCAAGAGAAAGAGGTAAATGCCAAATGGAGTTAGCAACATACAGCCTCCGTATCACAAGTAAAGTGGTGGGCCTTTACTCAAGTGGAAAGATGCTGACGTGTTAGAAATAAGACAAAGGGAAGAGCTGTTGACAGGCTCTGAGTAGTTAATAATCAGTCCTGACTTCCAAGCTAAATCAGGGATTTAATATGAGATTCAAACTGCTCCTTGACTACTGGCCATGGGAACAACGCTTTGGTCAAAGACTCAGAGAATCAAGGAAAAATGAGATTAAAAGTGAGCACTGGGTTCACCAGTGCCTTAACTAAGAGAAAACATCTACAGACTTCTTGCTGGGAAGATTATTAAGGATCTGAATTTGGGTCTGTTTCTAAAAAAGTTCCCAGAAGGTTCCACCAATTAGGGGAGAATGAAGTCTGAGATAGATTTTACAGTCTAGGGTGGACTAGTAATTATATGAAATGCTTACTTAATCAACTAGCAAGATCAACTCACACTGAAAACTTTGGCATAAGAGGAATTGATCTCTGTCTTATAAAAAGCTCCTCGTCACTGAATAAAAAGGAAGTCAATTATTAGAGGAGGAAGGTAAAAATACTAAGGGTTTCCCTGGAGGCTCGGACAGTAAAAAAGCTGCCTGCAATGCAGGAGACCTGGGTTCGATCCTTGGTCAGGATGAGCACCTGGAGAAGGGAATGGCTACCCACCCACTCCGGTATTCTTGCCTGGAGAATCCCAGAGACAGAGGAGCCTGGCGGTTAGTCCATGGGGTTGTACAGAGTCAGACACGACTGAATGACTAACACATTCATACACAAAAATACTAATTATTCACACAGTATTTTGGCACAAAATGAAAACTGATACTATGAAGTAACAGACTGTAGCCCTGGATCTCCCCCACCCCCCCAACTTTAGTTTCATTTCTGACTGTGCTATTTACATCTGAGTTTCATGACTGGCTCCTGACTACCCTGGGCTACCTTCTTCCCAGCCTTAATAGCCTAGGGAACAGTAGTCAGTAAAGAACTTTAGAAAAATTTGAGAACCATGAACTATGATGCATGTTAGTGTATTTGATTATACATGCATAAAATGTTTATAGTGTCTTGGCGCCAAGGACAGGTCATAAGTATTAAGAAGTTTATACATCTTTCTCTTATTCCTAGAAGTAGACAAGTAATTCCAATGGTGAATTATGTGTCCCTCCCCATCCCTTGCCCAAATCAATTTCCTTAAAGTGTATTTTTTAGGTTCTTGAAGTATATCACCTCTGGTTTGAAAGTATATAAAAATGGAGGTACTCATTTATTTGTAAGTACTGCAAAGATACAGAAAAAAGGCAACTTAGATAAAAAAAAACCTGTATACTGATATAAAAATTGAAATTTTATGGCATTCAGGGTTCTCATTTCCCTTCTTTTCCCCTAAGATTTCTAAGATTAAAAAAATAATCTCATATTAAAATGGCTATAATGCAGAAGCTCATCATTGTGTTAAATATGAAATGTATTATATTTGTGAGACTCAGGAATTGACTTCAGATAAGTTGAGAAGAAAATTTAATTCTAAAGTAATTTTCCCTAGGAAAGTTTAACTGGCATTAAAAAATGTCAATTATATTTAATTTCATATTTAATAATATTTAATATTTAATTTATATTTAAAAATATAAAACCTTGAGTGTATGTAGAACATAAAAAGAAACAGTTCTCATTCAAATTGAGAATTATTTTTGCCTTTTAAGTTAAAGATAAGTATATTTCAACAATGTAGGGCTTATGACAAGCTTATACACTGAGATAGATTTATCAGAGATGAAATATTTATAAGGATGGTACCTGAGAAATATCTTATATTGTCTATACAGTGATGAAGAATCAGTTAAAAGGCATTAAAAAAAAAAAACCTAGAAAAGCTAATATGAAAGTTTAGGTTTCTTCAGAAAAATCTGATCACAGCATGAACACCCCTAATGGTAATGTAGCCGGAAACACTGGCTAGGAAAGGTTGGCTGGCCGAATATCAAGGACAGCAATTACGATTTAGGAAAATAGGTTTCTAATATTACCCCATCAACTAAAATAACCATTGACAGTAGATCAATGGAATTAAAAGGACATATACTAGAACTAGATGCCAGGCTTCCAGAGTTGAGTAATGTCATTCATTGCTGAGCAACTTCAAAGTGCAGTTTCTAGGTCTTGAAAGTTAGGCTCCATCAACTTTAAAATGGATAATAGTAGCCATCACAGATCTATTTTGAGTTGAATAACATAATCCATATAAGGTGCTTAGTGCAGGGCCTCGGCACGCAACAAGAGCCTGCCATCACCACTACAGCCACCCTGAACCTGAACCTGATTGTCAGTTTTCCTCAACGTAAACACAGCTTTGGGCTGGGTCATTTCCAATGTCTCTGTCCATCTAGAACCAAAATTTACAATGAAAAAGAATATACAGGGCCAATACTGTTTTATGCAATCCACAGGAAATCCATGTTCTTCCATACATTATCATGTTTAGCAATTACACTTCTGAGAGTACAATGGCAAAACTGTCACAACCAGTATCTTAAATGGAAAATGAATGTCATATAATTAACTCTACGTGTTTTTAATAGTCTATTCATAGTTATAATTTTGACTTTTACTACAGAGTATCTAAATATATTAATTTGGTGCCTACAATAATTTCTGAAAAACAAGGCTTAAGAGGAATCTCAAAGTAGATAACCCTTTTTTTATCAAATGGAAAGAACATTTGTTATCTCCTACTTAATAAACAGAGCCAGTAAAGAAATTAATCTAAAAATTAATCTAAAGGTCTAACAAAATCTTTCTACTGGTATGTTACAATTCAAAATTCAAATGGCAGGCAAACATCACCAGAACATTAAGATCCTTTTTTGTCTGACATAAATATTTAAAAAAATCAGAATTTATCAAGGTAACATCAAGATTAAGGAAACATATCCCACATGTTTCTTGGGGGTAAACTACTGATACCCACAGACACATTAGCTGTGCATCAACCTAAATACTTTAATAATAGAGATTAAAAAAAAGTATTGGAGAACTCATTTGTGTACTGTTGGAGACACTACTGAGAAATTTTAAAAGCCTTTTTAGTTTAAAAATTATTAAAGGTGTGTGTGATCACTGACAAGTTATCTAAAAATTTTAAAATGTGTTTCAGATAATAAGAGCACTGGAGAAAAAATTATAGCTCACCTCAATTATGTACTAGCATGGTATGGCCAAAACAACAAACTTACATTTGCCTATCAATGTAAATGTTTGGTTATGTTAGTTCTTAAATATTAAAACAAAACACACAGATCTGTTAAAATCTGACAACCCAATAAGCTCTCAAAACAGAAAAGTTTAGCAGTCAATACTCATTTTTCATTTTTATATTAGTAAAACTGAGTTAATACTGTGGGAGTAAAAAAAAAAAAACCAAACCAGTTTCTCTTAAATTCATAGCTGTGCTACCTTTAGTTTCATTTCCAGAAACCCTTATCTTTAACAGATTTCCACTTGACACAATTTACAATCATTCAAGAAACTTTAGTTTTACCTTATAACCAGAGTTCAGCATGAAGTAGTTCTGTAAATTTCACGGCATAAAATGAATCTATCCTGTGTCCTTACCGTCAATATTTAGCTCAAAACAAACGTGGCAGAAGGAGAGTGTTTCTTTGTCTGTTCCCAGTTTACAAACACTGCAGATGTTGTCATCATTCAAATCAATGCTTACAAACTGCTCCTCTTCGTTCATAGTGCCCCTATTAAGAAATAGAAAAAGAAAGTTACACAATTTCAAGAACTTGTCATCACGGCAATAGTAGGAACTTCTAGGAAAGAGAAGGATGCTTTTCAGTTTATCTAAGGCAACAGCCTCTCGAAACAAGCATCGCCACACTAATACTTCTACTGTGCAAGGACACAAAGCTAGTAAAACTTAAAAGTCCAGCCGCAAGTCACACTATGCCCAAGTGCCTTTTTTGGTCCTGTGTTGTATTTAGTTGAGGGGAGCTGATGAAGAGCAGTTTTCGGGTATTCTAGACCGCTTCCATCCCCGACCAGGCGCAGAAAGAGCTTAGCAGCGCGGCCTGTTTCGCTACCGGAGTCTGTCAACCTACTTATCGCTGTTGAAGGGAGGACGAGCGAGGCGCTCGGGACACTGCTCTCCTTACTTCATTGTGGGAACCTTAGATGCGTCTCGCTAGCTCGGCGTAGCGAGGTGTGCTATTCCAGGTCCGCGGCTGGCAAACTGCACGTGGAAAAAGTGAACGCTAGGGAGGGGGTCTGGCCGCGTCCCTGGCATCCGCACGGGAGGTCGGGCAGCGGCTCAGCGGAGCGGCTCGGGCACTGCCGGAGAAGCCGGGATGGCTAAGCCCGGCCGGGGGGGAGGCGGGGTCCCAGAGAGCCCGGCCGGCGGGAGCGTCGCGTCCCCTCGCCCCGGGGCTTCCTCCCACCCCGGCAGAAGGCGTTCGAGAGCCCCAGCAGCCGGTCCGTCCGGACTCAGCGTTTCGGGGAGCCTGGTTCCCGCCCGGCCTCCGGCGTTTGGGGGCGCGCGCCCGCCCCTCAGGGTGCCGCGTCCTTCTCCCCGACTGTCTGTCGGGGCGTCCCGCGCGCAACAGAGACGGGGGCCGCGGGGCTGAAGGCTAAGGCGGCGGGATCGCGGGGTCGGGGACCAGGGTGCGGGCGAGGAGAGCGGGAGCTTTACCGTCCGGGTTCGCGCCGCCACAGCCGCCGCCGATGCGCGCGGCTCGGGCTCCTCACTATTGTTTCCGGCCGCAGCCGAGCAGCCAGCCCGCGCGGCCCCGCCCCCTCCCGGGAGCCCCGCCCCCTCCCGCCGGTGCCATCCTTCCGAAGCTCTGAGGGGAGAACGGCGGGGNGTTATTTTCCAGAACATCATAAACACCTCTATTGTTTACAAAGACGGGACTAGGTTGTCAGTCTACAGGTGACTGGTGGTAGGAATGGATTCCGTAGAACTTGGGAACTTCTAGACCAAACTAGCACTTAATGTAAACGATCAGTGCCCAGAAAAGTGATCAGTGTTTTTGCTACTTGAAGTATAGAAGGTGAGTCAGCAATATTGGCCTGGTATCTTGTTAGAGGGAGGAGAAGGGGACTACAGATGAGATGGTTGGATGACATCACCGACTGGATGGACATGAGTTTGAGCAAGCTCGGAGGGTTGGTGCTGGACAGGGAAGCCCGGCATGCTGCAGTCCATGGAGTCGCAAAGAGTCAGACATGACTGAGCAACTGAACTGACTGATCTTGTTAGAAGCGTAGAATATAAAGTCTCACCCAAGACATCCTGAATCTGAACCTGCTTTTCACAAAACCCAGAGGTGATTACTGTACACCTCTGAGACTTTGAGAAGCACTAATAGAGACAGAAGGGCCTCCCAGGTGGTTCAGTGGTAAAGAATCTGCCTGCATATGCAGCAGCCGTGGGCTGGATCCCTGGGTTGGATCCCTGGCAACCTACTCTGGTGTTCTTGCCTGGGAAATCCCATGGACAGAGGAGCCCAGTGGGCTGAGGTCCATGGGTTCTCAAGTGAGTGAGCCATAACTTAGCTGACTGAACAACAGATTGAAATAGAAAAGTCTTTGTGTTAACCTATTTGAATTTCACATTTTATGGAAATATGACTGAAATGTCTTACATCTTGGGTTCTACTCATTTTTTTCAATCAAGTGTTTTCTACAATCAGTAATGATTTTCTTGTATCGAAGTTATTTTCATTTCTCAGTGTTCTCTATCTTTCTGTAGCATTTTGCCTATCTACCTCTCCTTAAAACTTTTTACCTTGTTTTTTATTTTTAAATTATTTTTAAAAGTCTACTCTTTGGGGTTTAACTTACAGAAATAGAACTTTCCCATTTTAAAAGTAGAGTCCCTGAGTTTTGCCAAAAGTATACAATAGCATGTCCACCACCCCAATCAAGATATAGAACATTTCCACAACTTTGAAATTCTCTATGCCCCTTCTCAAACCACCTCCCCCATCTGATCTAATTTATATCTCTAAAGATATGGTTTGCCTACTCTAGAACTTTACATATGTGAAAATAAATGGTGTGTATTCTTTTGTGATTGCCTTATTCAGCATATTTCTGAGATTCATGGTGCTGTTTTGTAATAGGAGTTCCTTTTTGTTGCTGAATAATGTTCCACAATTTGTTCATCCATTCAGCCCTGTGCTCTGTGATGACCTAGGGGGGTGGGATGCAGGGTGGGATGGGGATGGGAGGGAGGCTCAAGCAGGAGAGGAATAAATGTATATTTATGGCTGATTCACATTGTTGTATGGCAGAAATTAAAGACATTAAAAAAAAAAAAAAAGACTGGACCCCAGCAGACACCAGCTAGGAAATGGGACTTCAGTCCTAAAACTTCAGGGAACTGAATTCAGCCAAAAAACTGGATGGATTTGGATGTTCAATTCAATACCTGTCTGATGTCTTGATTTTAGCCTTGTGAGGTTCTAAATGGAGGGTTAGAATTCCCTTGTACCTGGACTTCTTACCTATCGAATTTGAAGATAGTAAATTGTATTATTTTAAACCATTAAATTTGTGTCAATTTGTTATGACAGCATTATAAAATGAATACATTTGAATATCCAGGTTTTAAAAGAGTATTGGGCTTTGTTTTGGAAGGCTGTTACTCTAGTAGCTTATTAAACTTTGTGAGTGTCTAGACTATCCTTTTGTTATAAGAATTTCTAGTTCTCTTCTTAAGGAGTGGCTTAAGCCTTCTATTGTATGTCACAGGTCTTCCAATAAAGTTTCTATTCTCTAGTTGTATAAAACTCAATTGATTACTTTCCTATGAGTTCCAGTAGTTGTAAAGATTGTCAGTTCAGTTTGGTTCAGTTCAGTCGCTCAGTCATGTCTGACTTTTTGTGACCCCCGTGGACTGCAGCATGCCAGGTCTCCATATCCATTACCTACTCCTGGAATTTACTCAAACTCATGTTCATTGGGTCGGTGATGCCATCCAACCATCTCATCCTTCTACTCCCCTTCTCCTCCTGCCTTCAATCTTTCCCAGCATCAGGGTCTTTTCAAATGAGTCAGCTCTTCACATCAGGTGGCCAAAGTATTGGAGTTTCTGCTTCAACATCAGTCCTTCCAATGAACCCTCAGGACTGATCTCCTTTAGGATGGACTGGTTGGATCTCCTTGCAGTCCAA